TTTACTGAAAAAGAACGCCAAGAACGAAACACTGAATGTCAGGACAGTTGTGGGGCTATAGATAATGGTCCAGAGAAGAGCAACAAGAATGATTAAAGGTCTTGAGAACATGATCTATGAAGGAAGGCTGAAAGAATTGGGTTTGTTTAGTTTGGAAAAGAGAAGACTGAGAGGGGACATGATAGCAGTTTTCAGGTCTCTAAAAGGGTGTCATAAGGAGGAGGGCAAAAACTTGTTCACCTTACCCTCTAAGGATAGAACAAGAAGCAATGGGCTTAAACTGCAACAAGGGAGGTCTAGGTTGGACATCAGGAAAAAGTTCCTAACTGTCAGGGTGGTTAAACACTGGAATAAATTGCCTAGGGAGGTTGTGGAATCTCCATCTCTGGAGATATTTAAGAGTAGGTTAGATAAATGTCTATCAGGGATGGTTTAGACAGTATTAGGTCCTGCCATGCAGGCAGGGGACTGGACTCGATGACCTCTCGAGGTCCCTTCCAGTCCTAGAATCTATGAAATCATTTAAACTACTGCACATCATTACATTGTAACAGCCACTCAAAAGGCAAGGCAAATATCTCTAGACACTTTGTTCAGTCTCAGAAAACAACAAGAGTAAATTTCGCAACTAGCTTTAAAGCAGTGCAACTCTTTACGAAATGTATCCTGGCATGCTTTTATAAACGTAGATGCTAAAGACTGAACAATTTGTGTGCCAGCAAGTCTGTAGGCTCACTTTATTCAGAAATGGTTTAGTCAGTTCTAGTACAAAAGTTATCCTTTGCAAGAGTAAAATCCTTACTTACACTTGGATCTGATGATAGCATTCAATAGGTTTACATAATTTAAATTAATTATCTTTTCATAAGAACAAGAGAACGGCCACACTGGATCAGACCAAAGGTCCATCCAGCCCAATATCCTGTCCTCCGACAGTGGCCAATGCCAGGTGCCCCAGAGGGAATGAACAGAACAGGCAATCCTCAAGTGATCCATTCCCTGTTGCTCATTCCCAGCCTCTGGCAAACAGAGGCTAGGGACACCATGCCTGCCCATCCTGGCTAATAGCCATTGATGGACCTATCCTCCATGAATTTATCTAGTTCTTTTTTGAACCCTATTATACTCTTGGCCTTCACAGCATCTCCTGGCAAGGAGTTCCACAGGTTGACTGTGTGCTGTGTGAAGAAATACTTCCCTTTGTTTGTTTTAAACCTGCTGCCTATTAATTTCATTTGGTGACCCCTAGCTCTTGTGTTATGAGAAGGAGTAAATAACACTTCCTTATTTGCTTTCCCCACACCAGTCATGATTTATAGACCTCAATCATATCCCCCATTAGTCATTTCTTTTCCAAGCTGAAAGTCCAAGTCTTATTAATCTCGCCTCATACGGAAGCTGTTCCATACCCTTTAATCATTTTTGTTGCCCTTTTCTGAACCATTTCCAGTTCCAATATATCTTTTTTGATATGGGGTGACCACATCTGCATGCAGTATTCAAGATGTGGGCGTACCATGGATTTATGTAGAGGCAATATGATATTTTCTGTCTGATTATCTAGCCTTTTCCTAATGATTCCCAACATTCTGTTCACTTTTTTGACTGCCGCTGCACATTGAGTGGATGTTTTCAGAGAACTCTCTACAATGACTCCAAGATCTCTTTCTTGAGTGGTAACAGCTAATTTAGACCCCATCATTTTATATGTATAATTGGGATTATGTTTTCCAATGTGCATTACTTTGCATTTATCAACACTGAATTTCACCTACCATTTTGTTTCCCAGTCACCTAGTTTTGAGAGATCCTTTTGTAGATCTTCACAGTCTGCCTGGGCCTTAACTCCCTTGAGTAGTTTTGTATCATGTGCAAATTTTCCCACCTCACTGCTTACTCCTTTTTCCAGATCAATTATGAACATGTTGAATAGGACTGGGCCTTGCACAGACCCTTGGGGGACAGCACTATTTACCGCTCTCCATTCTGAAAACTGACCATTTATTCCTACCCTTTGTTTCCTATCTTTTAACCAGTTACCAATCCATGAGAGGACCTTCCCTCTTATCTCATGACAGCTTTCAAATGAAACCACTATTTTACATACTGAAGCATCATAAAAATTTCAATTTTTGCAGAGGAAGTGATCTTTTGACATTTATTCAGAGAAAGATTATTTAGCTATCCACTAACAGGATTGAATTTAATAAAGTTCTTCTTTTAATTATTGACCATGTTCTATATAAAAATATAACGTTACCTGAGCTTTTTCAGTATTTGTTGGTTGTAGATGTCTGCACAGCACTTTCTTCACAACATCAAGAAACAAACAAGTGACAACTATGACGATTATGGCAAACCAAGCGGAACCACTTGACAGCAACTGAACAAATACAAAGTACATGTCCTGCGTATGCAAAAATGGCCTGAAAAATTAGAGAAAAGATAATTAGAGGAAAATATCAGAAGTACAAATTAAACAAAACTAATTTGCTAAATTCATCCCTGTTTTATGCTGTCCACCAGAATAAGTCAGAGTGTAGGACACCAGCACTGGCGAGACCACTGAGGGGAGTCTAGTAGTTGAAAGTGGCATAGGGCAGCTAAAAAGTGAATGGGGTGGGCTGGAGAAGAGTGTGGCTAGGGAAGTTTGGGGATGTACTGTTTTAATTCATCCCTGCTGCAGCCTCTATAAGAGGAAATGCTCCTTCGGAGCTCCTGGAACACCTTAAAGCTGCCCATCAACAGAACA